GCTGCCCTACCCTTCAGACCGAAACGCATTACTGCTTCACGGTAGAAATAGGCAAGGCGGTGGTACCTACCCGCGCGGACTCACAAGAGGTCCTACCACCAGTAATTACGCAAATTATAATTTTGCGGGTTTCATTTTTATTACACGATGTTATTCCTTCACTGTGGAAGTCAATCGTGAACATTTGTTGAGTACGTATTTCATTAGAAAAATTCTCTCATTTAATTATCTCTCATTCTCATCATCTCTCATCTCTCATTTAAATCGTTTAAAATGTCCGCATTAAATTTCAAAGGAAACAGTGTACCGACTGTAGTTACTCTACTCTTTGACACGACTTCACGCAGAAGGCTTAAAGTGTTATGTTTCTATATACAAATAGCAGAACTCAATTTGTTTTAAACGTGATTCATGAATTAAAGTAAAGTGTATTGTCCTAGTTTTTTTTTTCACGACATCCTTAGGTAGCGTTTGCGAGTCAGTAGTCAATTTTATGATATTGAAACATAATAATCCGACTGTTGACGAATCAACGTCGCGTCATACATTGATGGCTGTGATTGGCCAAGGATAACGTCATATCGCACGGACCAATCACAAACCAGGAAACGCAATAGAGGCACCAAATGTCAAAATTAAAAAAAAGAATACACGAAGAAAAAAAATATGGACGCGCATGACAATCTTGTAATTTTGTAAAATAATTTTTTTTTTTTTTTTTATTGCTTAGATGCGTGGACGATCTCACAGCCCACCTGATGTTAAGTGGTTACTGGAGCCCACAGACATCTACAACGTAAATGCGCCACCCACCTTGAGATACAAGTTCTAAGGTCTCAAGTATAGTAACGATGGCTGCCCCACCCTTCAAACCGAAACGCATTACTGCTTCACGGCAGAAATAGGCAGGGTGGTGGTACCCACCCGCGCGGACTCACAAGAGGTCCTACCACCAGTAAAAAATACTATAATGAGTATTTGAAGAAGTAAACGCATTTATTCAGTTTCTTGGCCACCTCAAGATACGTCTAAGAAATAGACGCAACACCGACCTTACGTCTCTAGCATTTCACTTCGATAAAGCGGCACGACATGAGAACCCTCTCATCGTGGCCGCCGGTAACTACATTCCCGATCCTGCGGACAGAATGGAAAGCAGTCGACGTCGCCCAAAACACGTCATCTCGGATCCTCCCGATCCACTAACGGTGCTTCTAGGCACTTCAAGCACCGGTCACCGTTCTCGTCGAACCCGTCGCTTGCGACGAAGGGCTCGACGAGTAAATTAACTCTCAGTCACAGCCCACTGAGTTTCTCGCCGGATCTTCTCAGTGGGTCGCGTTTCCGATCCGGTGGTAGATTCTGCGAAGCACGGCTCTTGCTAGGGTTCGTGTTAGCAACGTCATCAGGTTTGAGCCCCGTGAGCTCACCTACAAAAGTTAGGGTTACGCTCTCAGCTTAGGTAGGAAAAAAAAAAAATCTAACATTAAAGCCTTCGTCAAACAGAACGCGTAATTAGCGCGCGTCAGAGCGCTAAACTGACGCCGCGCTATGACGCCGAGATGTGTTGTATTACTATGGTAACATACCGTCAAACAGAGCCCCAGCGCTATAAGTACGCAGCGCTCTGTCGCGGCGTTAGGACGCTTTGACGTCAGGCGTTGTAATTTTTTACAAATTTTATTTTAGTGTCCGAGTGAATGTGTATTAAAATACTAGATAATGCCCGAAAAAATGATATAAATAGTTAGAAAATACCCATGTTTATACAATGCCACATCTGAACCACTCGATTTCTTAATACGTTTAAATTTTCACACTGCTATCGAAAGGCACTATGATTTGGCGAATGCGTTGCGTCAAGGAGCGTTAGACTCATCTAGTCAATTGGTGTGACATGAAAAGAGCGCGACGTTACAGCCTGGCCACGGGACATTCGCCGATACGAATATTCGCGCGGTGCGAACGGCGAAGCGTCTAGCGACTAAAATAAGCGCATAGAAATGTACCTAACAAGCCACGCGTACCGGCGACCGGCGAAGCGACCGGCGAAATGTACCGAGCGAATCGCGCGGGCGACTTACGATGCGGCGGGCGAGCAAAACAAATGCATGCATAAGGACGTTGCAAGCCACGGAGTCGAGCGGTAGTCGCGGCGAATAGTATAGTGATTAAATGAGTTTAGTTGTTTTCGCCGCGAAAAATGAACGCCGAAATTTTTTTATTTTTATATTTTTTATTTTTTATTTTTTTAAAGTCGTCGTGGCCTAACGGATAAGATGTTCGGTGTTGAGCGATGCACCGGTAGTCGAATATCAGGCGGGTACCAATTTTTGTAATGAAATACGTACTTAACAAATTTTAATGTTCACGATTGATTTCCACGGTGAAGGAATAACATCGTGTAATAAAAATGAAACCCTCAAAATTATAATTTGCGTAATTACTGGTAGTAGGACCTCTTGTGAGTCCGCGCGGGTGGGTACCACCACCCTGCCTATTTCTGCCGTGAAGTAGTAATGCGTTTCGGTTTGAAGGGCGGGGCAGCCATTATAACTATACTTGAGACCTTAGAACTTATATCTCAAGGTGGGTGGCGCATTTACGTTGTGGATGTCTATGGGCTTTAGTAACAACTTAACACAAGGTGGGCTGTGAGCTCATCCACTCATCTAAGCAATAAAAAAAATATATAGCTGAAATACTAGCTAGACCATCTATTTGGAAGTCTAGCCACCCAAAGTATTTCTCGTACTTCTTGTGGAATTCTCCATCTATAGGTATACTCCGATTCTTATTCAAATCATGTACTTCACAATCTTTTCCAAATAATAGGCCAAAAATTATTAATTTGTAAGCAATATCGAGATAATTTCGATATAGACATTTCGCTGTCGGACTTCCTTACTAGTCGCGGCGGCGAACGTGACTCCCCGTGGCCTGCAAACGGTGCTGCGCGAATGGTCGCCTCATCCACCGCTTCGTCGTTCGCACCGCCGATCCCCGTGGCCAGGCCGTTAAGTACGCGGCGCTAAGTACGCGTTCTGTTTGACGAAGCCTTTATGTTACGTATTCTATGTATCTTAAACGACTAATACTGGTTTGTGACATCTTCGAATAATAACGTTTTTTTCTGTACTTACTAGTTTACTAATCATTCGTGTTTTTCTTCTGGATTACAAGAAAGTATATTCTTCAGCAGTCTCGTCACAAAATTGCCGATATTTCGTAAAACATTGACAGAAATCAAATAACAAAGTTAGTGCAAGTTTTCGACTAATCACGCCTGCTGGTTATCTATATATTAATACGTGAAGCAAAAACTTTGTATCCCTTTTTACGAAAATTACGCGGACGGAGGAGTATGAAATTTTCCACACTTATAGAGAATATAGAGAAGAAGTGCACAATGCTAATATTTTTTTTAAATAATGCATAAAAGATACATTAAATCAATAAAGAAAACATTACACACACTACATACCGTGTATTTGACGCACACACGCATGCATACTATTTATTGTCAAACTTTTGTTCTTGACGGCTGTTGTCAAATTGTGAACAGATTAAATATTGTTTGTCTTTGTTAATATTTTTTATAGCGTAGTCTTGGCGAAATTAGTGATTATAGAAGTATAAAATACAATCATAATAGTGTACAAACTTACAATTCCAATTAATTATAGTCGAATTTCGACTCTCGACGGGACCTCTAGTTATTATAAATAAACATTAAAATTAAAATAGAACAAATATACTTCAATTGCGAATTGTATTCTAAAAGCCACATTACCCGTGTATTACGATCTCTCGGTATGCTAAGATCTTATCGTTGTTCGCGTATTTTGGAGGTTACGTCATTCAATTTGCTACATAAACTCTATTATTGGCTTTCGGTATTATAATTATCTATTTGTATTTGCTGGGCTTTGCAATAAATATTTAGAGGTATATTCTACGAATCTACGAATAAATTTATATAAAGACATTTAAAACGTTTTGAAAGTCTGTACAAGTACTAGTGTTCCCCGACACACTGTACTGCAATTTTTGTACTATAAAGAGAAGAACAGGTCGGAGAAATAGAATGCACATATGTAGCTCCTGTATTATAAGGCTACCTTTAAATTACCTGATTTTTTATTGCTTATAGGGGCGGACGATCTTACAGCCCACCTGGTGTTAAGTGGTTACTGAAGCCCATAGACATCTCATATGTAAATGCCGACACCCCTCTTGAGATATGAGTTCTAAAGTCCCAGTATAATTACAACCCGGCCGCACCCTTTAAGCCGAGACGCATTACTGCTTCACGACAGAAATAGGCAGGATGGTGGTACCTAACCGTGCGGACGCACAAGAGGTCCTACCACCAGTAAAAATCCAATTTCCAATGAACCAAATTTTATGTAACCGATATTGTTACACCCGTATTCTAACATGTGGTCTTCAACCCTAATTAGCTTGTCCAAGTTCAGCTAATAATAATAATAGATAAATTTCCGATTTGTAAATAATTTATAATTAGATTTAATTTCTTTGGGTTTGACTCACCCTGGGTATGGCCGAAAATTTAGTTTGTCGGCTTAATTGCGTCACGTTCTGCCTACAAATAATCAAGTAGGTAAATTCGGCACTTCGAAAGCAAAACAAATTCATATGAACGTAACCTTTCTTCTCGCTTCGGTTTCCTCAATCCTGAGGGTCGTGACCACCTCCTCGCAACAAGAGTTTATTGCGGATCATTCCACGCCATTTGCCTCTATCTGCTGCCGAGTGTAGAGCATTGTGAACTGTGGTGTCGAGGGTAGTGCGGATCTGGTCAGTCCAACGTGTCGGGCCTACTAGAAGAAAAAGTTTCTTAAACAAAAACCATCAACAGTGCAAATCTCTTGTACACGCTTTCACAAAACCTGAACACAAAGTCGAAATCGCTCAACAAAATCCTTCAAAGAAAACACTGAAAGACACTTACTTATTACATAATTTGTTCGTTACAGGTCCGGTGCCGATAGCCAGAAATATAAGACATCTGCCGTGCATATCAAGAAAGACAGGGCAAGAGGGCCTTTGTATGTTTGCCATTGACTGCCTCAAAGCGAATGGAACACATCTAGGAGCGTGTGTTGACCGATTCTATTTCGGTTCTTGCTGTCAATTATCCGATAAGACGACAATCCCCCAAATAGTAGCAAACCACATTGACGACAACTCTATAGATAGTTTCATTAAAGACGACAAACTATCAAATAAAATACCAGAAATATTCGCTACGAAAAAAACTACCACAGAGAAAACGGCAACAACTTTAGCTGACCAAGCTGACGCTGTACAAGATCGAACTGAATCTATGGTTCTTGAGACGAAATCCGACGAGCAAACGACTGCTTACAATAAAATCACTGATAATGTCAAATTAACGACAGCTCTCAACGTGGAAACAACGACTAAAGCTGAAGCGAAACACACTGAAGCTATTACTGAAGTGCCGGTCAGATTGTCGACATTCCAAACCGTTTCTGTTGGTTCGAACACTGAAAAATCGACGGAAAACGTAGAAAAAATCAAAACGACCACAATAAAACCGTCGTCGACAACTGAGAAAGTCACGAAACCAGTCAAAGTGTCCATGAGACCTACAATCATACGGCCTACATACAAACCGTATAATTACACTAGACCTCAATACACTCAGTCCACCTATAGACCGACGAAACCAGTTTCCATCAAACCACTTTCGACCAGGAAACCGCCGTACCGACCTCCGACAAAACGGCCGACCAGAAGACCACTGCCGTCACCGCCTAGATTGAACATCACCATCCTCCCACAAACAACACCGAAGCCGCCCAAACCCATCAACCTTACTACCGAAGTCGCAACTGACAAGTTCGAACCAACAGAACCGTTACCTTCTACAACGAACTTCGAAACGACCACAAATAAACCTAGCGCCGTCTCCGAAGACACCACTGAGAAGACAACGGTTCAAGAAGAGGTCACTGAAAGAATAACCAAAATTGAAACTGAAGCACCCACTTCAGTGCCAAGCTCGACTTCAACAGAATTCCCGCCCTTTGTGACGTGGTCAAACACAGTGGGCGCTACAACTAAGCCGCCAGAAAAAGAAACAGAATCAAATAAAGTCACCGAATCCGATGAAGGTGAGTTGTTTTTTAATTAACTTTATTGACCAAATTACGAATATAACTTTAAAACAACAAACAAAGTTACATCACTTCCGACTCGCGCTAATTGACCAATGTTTGGGTAATTATTTTAGACAAAATTGAAGACTCGACCGAAGACATTCTTCCGTGTCCAAATTAAAAATTTATATTACAGTCATAAAAGACAACAATTAACACTTTTAGCTATACGGTTTTCGTGTAGTTGCAAATTTTAATAAGTCATTTAATTGCGATGTGCAACAGAATCTCATTAAACAATATAAGTTGACTTTGTTGTTTATCCAGGGTTAATAGGAGTAGATATTACGCGTCGGCATACCGAAAAAAGGTTAGTGCAACGTATGATTAGCAACAATAATCTGTCAGTTCCTATTGGCTTTTCCAAGGCGGGTTTTTAGACCGACGTCTAGTCTAATATAATTGCCCCCTCAATATATACCCCTATAAACCTCAAGCACCGTCCTTGCCGAAAGCGTCGGCTTGCGACGAAGGGCTCGAAGACCAAATTAACCCATAGACACAGCCCACTGAGTTTCTCGCCGGATCTTCTCAGTGGGTTGCGTTTCCGATCCGGTGGTAGATTCTGCGAAGCACTGCTCTTTTTAGGGCCAGTGTTAGCAACACCTCCGGCTTGAGCCCCACGTGCTCATCTGCTTGCTCGGTTACGCTGACAATCTCTCAAGGCTATCAGCTTAGGTAGGAAAAAAAACGAATATAAAATGAACTATCGTTATGTGATCATAATCGGTGTGCTCACATATAACTTTTTCGATTGAGGTAACAGCGTTAATCCGGTATCCACTTAACACTAGATGGGTCGTGAGTATGTCTAACCGTCCAATGAAAAAATTACAGGTAGAAAAAACTCTATGTTAGATGTAACTCATGTAGTTTTTGGGTCCTCTGAACCGGAGCCTCTATCTATCTCTCGATAAAGTTACATCTTTCGTATGTGAATTTAAACATAATAATTATTAAAATGTCTAAACAACCATTATGTGCTATCTATAATTTCATACTTAGCTGCTTTAAAATGAAATTAGTTTTTCTTTATTCCTCAGTAAAATCACTGAGTTCATTAAACTGATAGGGCATTAAACTTAACGAATTATATTATAGAGTCCTTTCATATTTATTTGCATAACAAATTACATACTATTAAATCACTCTTAGACTTTTTTGGCGTAATATTTATTTTATCTTTTATCGGTGATTTCATGAGTATGGAGATACGTAGATTGGCCACGAAGCTTTCTTGGGTTTTTAAGGGCGTTTTTAAGGCCTGTGCAAATAAAAAGTTCGAACATAGTTTCGTGATATCCTGTAAATCTGAAATATTTTGTATCACATAATTTTTTTTAAGGGATTTTATGACCTGGTAACTAAAACCTTTAGGTCAAGTCTTATTATAATTTATATTCTTATTTTTATGAAAAATGATAATGCGGAGTGAAATGAAATGAAGATGATTAATTTGAGACATCCATCAACTGAGATGAAATTAAATGAAATGATATGGGATGAAATATTCTCAGTAAAATGGTGATCATTTACTGAGACTTTTTCAGTGAACTTTTTGGTAGGATCCCGAGAAGTTACGTCCGGCGGCTTTGTTTTATTTTCCCACATTTGTGCACTTTCACAGATTTTAAACAGTAAATAAACCACCTTTATTACACCACGGCCCACCTGATGTTAAGTGGTTACCGGAGCCCATAGACGTCTACAAAGTAAATGCCGCCACCCACCTTGAGATATGAGTTCTAAGATCTGCTGCCCCACCCTTCAAACCGAAACGCATTACTGCTTCACAGAGGGTCCTACCACCAGTGATAAATATTAGGTAATAATTAGGTAGTACATAGTGTACGAGAAATAGTGCACTGTCTGACTCAATACGGATATGAAGGCGTGATCATACACCACAGAAGTCATGCGAAACACGATAATCGTAATCAAACCAGTAGGTATACGTTCCCACAGCCAACCTTAAAATCAATGTCCGAAGACGCTTTAACTCCGATCACGTATTGAGGCCGACTCAAATCGTTGGGTCAGAGGCGTTTTAGTGAAAACAATCACTTTCTATTATTTATTGTTCGGTAATGTTTTTTTTATTTTATTATACTTGTTGGGTAGATGTGGTTAAATGGTTTCCGGGGCTTGGAGACGTGAATTTCCAAATACTAGAGGTCCCGCAGTAGTCGAAATTCGACTATGATTCATTGGAATTGCAAGTTTGTACACTATTATGATTGTATTTTATACTTCTATAATCACGAATTTCGCCAAGACTACGCCAAGAATAAAAAATATTAACAAAGACAAACAATATTGAATCTATTCTCAATTTGACAACAGACGTCAAGAACAAAAGTTTGACAATAAATAGTATGCATGCGCGTGTGCGTCAAATACATGGTATGTAGTGTGTGTAATGTTTTCTTTATTGATTTAATGTATCTTTTATGCATTATTTTAAAAAAATATTAGCATTGTGCACTCCTTCTCTATATTCTCTATAAGTGTGGGAAATTTCATACTCCTCCGTCCGCACAATTGTCGTAAAAAGGGATACAAAGTTTTTCCTTCACGTATTAATATATAGATAACTAAACTTCGCGGTAGAAATAGGAAAAATACCTACCTACCAGCGAAAGTACAATTTATCTCTATAAAGAAACTTTATTATCGCATGGAGAACATTAAAAAATGCGAAAGAAAGAAACAGCTTTATATTGTTAGTTCATTTTAACTATTTATATACACCAATAACGTCGTGTAATAAAACAAAGCTTTGCTGAAGTCCATGGGCGACGGCTACGAAAATTATAATTTGCGTAATTACTGGTGGTAGGACCTGTTGTGAGTCCGCACGGGTAGGTACCACCGCCCCGCCTATTTCTGCCGTGAAGGGTTTGAAGGGTGGGATAGCCGTTGTAACTATACTGAGACCATAGAACTTGTATCTCGAGGTGGGTGGCGCATTTACGTTGTAGATGTCTATGGGCTCCAGTAACCACTTAACACCAAGTGGGCCGTATTCTCTTCTGCCTACAAGGGCAATAAACAAAATTAAAAAAAAAAGCTGGCAGAATTTATAGCTTAACAACTGACGGTATAGCGTATGCTTAGAGTGAGTACCCTAGGTAGCATCAATACAGAGAAACCTTTATCCAGTGTGAAATGTGTAAGGGTTTCTCCGAACCATTAAGGTTGGCAGCAAGTTGGCGATAATCCAACGTCGAAAAACGTCAAGTTCCTCAATGAACGCCTCGGGAACTGTGCCATCGTGACACTTAGCTCAATTAATTCGGAACGTATGTATGTGTAAACATTGTCGATTTTACAAAAACAATTATCTATAGTCGTATTTTTAATTAGACGAAGCCAGCTGACAGTAGCTAATGTCACTTTATAAAATAATGTTGCTATATTTAAAGTAATAGTGATGCGTTCAGTTCTCGTTCAATCACATGAATGAACAATGAGTGTGAAGAGTTAATCATTTCAAACTATAAAAGAATATTATTTCTATTTTACAATAAAATTGTATTAAAGTGCTCCAATATATGTTACTAGTAGTATGTAACTACAATCAGTCTTTTTTATTTTCATTACCTACCTATAATTGTTATATTTTATACATCTATAGTTTCAACTATATGGTGTATTGAAAATAGGACAGTCTTACATGTTTCCTCGCAATGTTTTCCTTAATGTTTAAAACACTCGGAATTCAGTGTATAGGTAGATACTATAGGAACATAATCGTCGAAAACTCGTTGGTATGTACAAAGCACGACTAAAATTCGAACCCCGTATCCGATATCAGCAGTTCGATACACTAACTATTCACTAGACAATCGAGGCAGTTTCATTAATTCAATCGTTCACTTTGTCACAACACTATTTTTATTTCATTAAAAACTGACAACACAGTAAACGTCAGTTGACTTCGTCTAATAAAAAATCCGACTATACTTAATCGCTTTGATATTAAGTACGTAATTAAAAATTATAATATTACTATGACATGATATTTCCGTATGTATATTATTAATATTAAAATATTAAATATTTATAGATTGACTCGGTGGTGCTGTAGTTAGCGGCTTTGACTGTTGCGCCGAGGGTCGTGGGTTCGATTCCCACACCGCGCAAACATTTTTGTGATGAACAAATTTGTTTGCTTTTTTGCTTGTTTTGTTTATTATCTATATAAAAATGTACATATTTAAACATGTGTAAATATGTATGTCAGTCTCTGGTGCCCAAAACACAGGGAATACTAATTTTAGGGCCGTATAAGCGTGCTTGATTTGTTCCCACTAGTTTATTTTTCACAACAGATTACTTAAGCATCATATTTTTAAATAACAAAATTACAATGGGAACTAAATATAATACATAATAATAATGTATTACTATTATTAATAGATGTTTATCACAGTCTATTGTACATTTCTGGATTCATATTTACTGTTTTTTTTTTGTCTTTTTTTGTAGATTTTATTTGGAATAAATAACTTTAAATGATGAGTATACGTAACGTATTTGATTTAGGCTTCTCGGTTATTGATCCTTAAAGTTCTAGATTGTTCTGAAATTACTTATCAAATTACCTTCTTGTTTTCAAGTAATTGGTTTTTATCTTTGAATCTATCGTAAAAAAATACTTTGTGTCTTGAATAAATATATGTATGTAATAAGTAATGGAATTTTCAACGATCTATATGTCGTACGTCTCATAACACTGTTGTTAGACGGATGAACTTAAAACTCATCCAGTGGAGACCTTAGATGTAACAACAATGATGGCATCAACCACCTCTAGACATGAGGCCGAATTCCCAATAATGCCTTAGGCTAATGTATACAACTGTCTTGCTAACTGATTTATTACTACAGGATGTAAAACATGAACCTCATTTGTAAAAACGTGTTTTGTGGGTATTTGAAATAAATCGAAACGAGGGTAGTTGAATATCAGCGCTGTTGGCATCTATTAGGGACAGCGGTATCAGCGTTATATCCGTTTAACTTTTTATCCCATTTGTTTTTTCCTTTTACTCACTAATATATTTAAATATATATTTTTAATTTAAAATCGAAGAATTTCATTATATTTATATGCCTGTCTGCACCTAACAGAGCAGTTGCGGTTTTTTAGCCAGTCGTAAATGTGATTCCGTGTGACCATTATAAAACATTTTATTAAAAAAATTCCAGAAACGTGGTCACCTATAACGCCACCCGCAGGTTGGGTTCTACTATCGACCGTTCCACCGAAACCGGATACTTCATCAACCACAACCACAACGACAAACCATCCAATCATCGAGGAAACAACCGAGGTTCCGGAGACAACTTTCGTAACCGAAACAACAGTTAAACACACCACAACAATCAAATCGACGACAACTGAGCCAACAACAGTGTCCAATGAACCAATTACTTCTACGACAACGCCGAAACCGGTTACAACCGAAAAAGTAGTAACCACGACACCAGAAATTTTAACTACTCAGATACCGCTGACAACAACAACAAAACTAGTAACTACTGAGAAACCGCTGACAACACCAGCACCAACGACGACTACAACCGAACAACCAAAGACCACCCGAAAACCAACAACTACCACCAAAAAACCAGATACCACAACTCAAACCACAATAACCACTACAACTCAAATTCCAACTACTACAACGCCAACAACAACACAAAAACCGGCTACAGCCCAACCACCAACAACATCAACGGAAAAACCGACTACTACAACAGAGAAACCGATAAATTCAACCGCGAAACCAGTTACTTCGTCCGAAGCACCGTTAACGGAGGTTCCAACAGAATACCCAACGATTTCAATCTCTGATGCCCCTGTCTTAGAGTTCACAGTCAATGTAACTCTTACTCCAAGTCCATCCTCCACCGAAGCTATTGGTTTGACCACGCTCAACGCAGTTTCCAGCGAAGCTACGACTGAAAAAGCAAGTAATGCCACTACTGAAGCTGGTAAGTTTGATAAAATTCAATATTTAGTTAATCTAATATATTCCTTATCAGCATCGAGACGCGAAGGCGTCGATCCACCACTTTTAGTGTCTATTTCACAGCGCCAGAAAAACAGAGGAGACTGGAGCATAGATTAGTTTGATTTTAATTCAGTATATCCAGCATCGGATCACGTCTTGATTGTTTACATGTTTTAAACGTATCTTCGTCTACTTTGGTCTACTATTACAGTTACTATTCTAATACTACTACTACTACTACTGCTACTACCCTAATAGGAAATGTTTAAAATAGGTCACAGATCGCTGGCCAGACCGGTCTTATCATAATGAGTTGCGTGTCAAGGATAGGGTATGATAACACATCATTATGGAAGTTGTTGTCCCTATAACCCCGGCTTGAGTACGAAGAATTCATCCATTATCTTCTTGGATATGAGGAATGCCTTTTAGATTTCAGAAGTTGTGTGAATATTGTCGTTAATGATAAAAGAATAAACAAAAACGGAATACGTGATTAATTAATTCAAGCTTTGTGTTAGGACAAAAGTATTTTTGCATAAGTCACAAATCTATTGTTAGATTGTCTGTGGTCCTTAGACACATAGTTTCTTCTTAGATGGATGAGTGAGTTAACCTGGCTTAAAGTGGTTATTGGAGTTCATAGACATATACTTTGAATGGAAATTAAGACTAACTCTCCCGACACAAAAAAAAGATAGTGACGTCACACGCCGCCATTAACGACGTGCGAGAGAGATAGCAAAATAGTTTCTTAACACCACCGCTTTACTGCTTCGAAGTAGATTGCGCTGTGACCTTCTATCTCCGACCCAAAGCTTGAATTTGAGGCCTATTTGGACACGGATAGCAGCTCTATGAGTAGAAAAAAGTCGCACCCGATGGCTACGGGAGACAACAAGTCAATTGCAAGTTCCCATGGCCCACAGCGCAACTATTTAGAACAATACAAACAATAGTGTTGTGACAGTGCAATTTACATTCAGTAACGAAACATTCCACTATGTGTACAATCGTTTTAATTGTTACAATAGTATTGGAGAGCACAACGCAGACCGTAGACGTTGAGACAACAACCGAATTCATAAATATGTCGGATTACAAAAACGGTGAGTTAAAATTTTTATTATATTTTATTTTTTTGTTATGGCAATTCGAAATTTCGACCAATACTTTTTAAGCAATATTAGAATGCAAATTTAAAACTGCATTTAAGTTTGTTTGTGTGCATGATTCCCGTCTTGCAACATATTTCGGTGGATTTTTATTAGAAATTGATGACATGTTTCGTCTTAAGAAAAAATCGCAATCCCGCCTTCGTATCTACGGCGCAGTCAAAAAAAATTAATATCGAGACCTCACGTCAACTATAGGCTCTAGTGACCCCTTAACAGGATGTGGGTCTTGAGCTCGTTTTACTTACTTACTTATTCAATTTGCTGAAAAAAATTACCGAATCAATCATAGACATTTTCATAAGTTTTTTTTTTTTCGTTAATGCACTTTTAAAGCAAAGGTTATTGCGGGGTACAGCCCGCGTCACTAATGACCATTGAACTTCTGATTTTGTTACATTGCTCGCAGTCCAATATACCGTAATAAAAGTATTTATATGATACCACAATCGCCAGTACTACTGCTTGCCTTCATTTTAGGGAACGCTTTCCTGACAGTCCTCAAACTATTAGCACATAATAGGCTTTACTATTTTGTGACATTAAACTCTAAGACCAACAACCTAAAGGCACACTTTCGTTTATCGAATTTAAAAAAAAGCATTGAATCCGCAAAACGTGGCAAGGTTAAAGACCCAACAAATGTATCCACAGAGTAAACAACAATAAAAAAAATAAAACTTACAGCTCGGAATTCAGACAAAGAGTTGTCAGTGGCGATGTACGCGCGCCACGGCCAAGGCGAGAGGCAAGGACGCGTTCGTATTTTAAAAAAAAAACAAAGATAAGAAGAACCGTTTAAAGCGTCGATTCTCTTTTTAAACGTAAATAAAACGTTCGAAATTTTAAAATTCGAAAATGTAATGTTCGCGTATAACGTTTTTCATTAATCCGATGTCCGATCGCGTATCAAAAGTGTTGCAATTTCAAAAGGACCAAAGCGCGTAAATGTGTGTGAATCAGATATTAATAAGTGTGTGTGTATTTGTGTCAAAAACACAAAAACAATATAAAGTTATTCAGGACGTATTGCTCACCACGTCTTTAAGGAAATCATATTTGACCCGATCGTTTTGTTTATGCAAGTGTCGATGAATTGCTACGAATTAATCTCGGATATACACATTCGCAATTCCGACGCCGTTAGATTTGGTTCTTTGAAATATTATCCGAAATTACGATCGTGATATTACCGAAACTCGTTTCGATGTAGTACCCAAAAAGTGTTACAAAAAATTCGTGTGTCTCGCAGAAGTGCACCGAGCTTTTTGCGCATTAAAACTTTGCTCGACTTTTGGACGTTTTAGTCGATCGTTCGAGATAAAAATTCACTAAGACGAAGATACGGTTTCGTTTTTATAAATCACTTTAAAGTATTTAAGAAAAAAAACCTTCAAATCTACAACGTTCCTAATTCAAACAAACCAATATCGATAGTTCCTATTTTGAAAATTTAAAAATAATGTTCTGAAAATCGTTAAGAAGAAAAACGTCGGCGGATTTCGAATTTCGAAATGATAATAAACTCTACGTTATTGGTGCTGGCAGTATGCGGTAGGAGGCTGTGGCAGGCGCCGCAGAGCCGGATCGTGGGGGGAGACAAGTCCACCTTCGGGATGTGGCCCTGGCAGATATCCTTGCGGCAATACAGGACCTCAACGTATCTACACAAGTGCGGGGCGGCTTTGCTCAACGAGAACTGGGCGATCACGGCAGCTCATTGCGTCGAACAGTAAGTTCAAACTTTATACTATCACTAGCTGTACCCGTCCGCTTCGCTGGCCATTTAAAATTAACATTATTATTTCTCACCCCCACAAAGATTCTCATCATTAACGCCCCCGCAACTGGTGTAGGGAGTCCAACACTCATATACATATTAGCCTATCCATTAAGTACATGTATTTTCTATATGGATACCAAGTTTCAAGTCAATCGGATGCATGGTTCAGTAGTTGTAACGGAACATCCGTAAAAACCACTATAGATTTATATATTAGTATAGATTATGATGAACATTAAATTAAAAAAAGATGCATATCCATGTTAATCCCTTAATCCAGCGGCAATTTTGAAGATCATTCATTTATCGAAACACATCGAGTCGATCGCTTGTAATCGATTCCCGGTCTCTTTATCGATTAACCATTTAAATATACTAGTGGCCGCGTAGTAGTCGAAATTCGACTATAATTAATTTTAATTATAAGTTTGAACATTATTATGGATCTGTTCTATAATCACAGATTTCGCCAAATATAGACAAATAGTATTAAAGACAAACAATATTAATCTATTCTCAATTTGACCACAGACTTTAACAATAAACAAAAGAATAAATATGCGCGTGTGTCAAATCTATTACACGGTTGTTTGCGGAAATTTTTTTTTAATTGATTTAATGTATTTTTGATGCATACTTTTAAGTAGGATATTATTAGCTTTCTGCACTCCTTCTCTATATTCTTTATTAGTGTGGGAATTTTCATACTCCTCCGTCCGCGCAATTTTCGTAAAGAGGGGTATAAAGTTTTTGCTGCACGTATTAATATATAGATCAACAAAGCTGACAAGAGGAACACAATTGTGGCAGTTTAAATTTAATTCCTGCGACTGTCGTAAAAAAAGGTTTTAGCTATTTTCGTTCTAAAAGACCGACAAAGCGCTGTCTTCATGTCAATGACATTTTGACGTTCCCAACATACCAGTGTTACAAGAAAAAACAAAAACACCATTTTTAAGGGAACATTAACATTGTTGATTATTATATCGAGATGTGAAATGCTAATTGGTTTAAGCGACAATTTGTTTAATATGCTACATTTATATTTGTAATTAAAGGTGCCTTTCATTTGGTATTAACATAAACAGTTCGATGTTTTTAATTGAAATTCAATTAAGTTTACCCAATTTCAATAGCTGAAGAAGTTTTTTTGTCATAATATTTTTTCCAAATTTTAAACGTCATGTAGTTCTTGTGTAAAGTTACAAAAGTGTCCCTTAAACCAAATACCTTGACACCCGTCGTTTTTTTTTTTTAAAATAGACATTCAAGCTTTTTTTTACCGCGTATTTCATCGTATATTCAGTGTGCTCAGTGCGAGTTTTTTAACGTTCTCTATCTCCTAAAAGTTAACTAAAATTTATATGGAGTTGAAACAGCGCCCCTAGGGGCAAACGTAGGCAATCGTTACAACTCCATACACAAATTTAAGTTAACTTTTAAGCCATCGAGAACGTTAAAAAACTCTAACTAAGCACACTACTTTGAAGGGTGAAATAATCATTGAGCAGATTCAAGTAAAACTAAGTTTTTGAGTAAGCCGCGCGTAAAACCGATTTCTGGCGTGGCGACGCATGCTGTGGCGACGCATGCTGTGGCGACGCGTCGCCATGCGCAATCGACTATGCGATTCTCTCCCACTCGATCCGGCGTTAAGCCATCTCTCTCGCTACACTGAACTCGGATACCTATAGTGTATACTCCGTAGTGTATACAGTGTTGTTTACTACAGTACACATAACCTGTGTTTTACTTGAAAACAAATTATTTTTCGTAATATTTTATTTTATCATTATGACATATTTAGTTCCTATCACAATCTGTTCTTCTCTGCATATTATTACTTTTACAAAAGAATGTCGATGTTTCACATTTGCCAGGCGTCCCGTGACGGCTCACATTTTTTTTTGCTATATCCTACTCTTGTTAAGCGCTTTATCACTTGATTGGTTATATTAAATGACACTTCGTTATGGTCACCTTGTACCTAAGGTCAAAATCACTAGTGCCTGAAGACACTGTAATTCTATCCTCCAAAGAAGCAAGGCTGATCGATATCTAATCATCCGAGCTGATTAGATCTATTTGCTTAGAAATAGCAATTTGCATAGACTTGTAGCATGAATCGATAAATAAACCATTATTGTACATTATGTGAGGCGACTACCGAAGACCATAGACAAAGCTGTCAAATTAAAGAATCGGGTTGCCATATCTAAAATACGATTTGACATTTCTGTAAAAATATAATTACTATTTAATTTAATTATAGTTTTTTGTGTAAAGTATCATGATGCTATGAAAAACTAGACTCTGTATTCTGTCGGCCACGTTCAAGGTTGTGATGCAATCAGAGAGATATGGTTGTCACACTAGATAAAAATAATCGGTTGAAATAAATATAAATCACTTTTTTTTACTCACTCATCACTTTTTATTATTATTCTCATTATCCTCTCGCAGGTCTGCTGGAAGAGATTTCTTAAAGAAATAAGCAGTGCCTTTGTACATAATTTTCCTATTACTCTGTACTATGTCTTCTTTTCTGTGTGTACATAAATAAATAAATAAATAAACAAAAAAAATAATCGAATATGACACGAAACCTTTTTTACTTAACGGTAATGTTGTGCAAACAAAAGCTCATATGTAATAATGAGCTTTAATGAGTATTAATTATAACCACTTCAGCCACCGATCCAGCTGATAGAAGATAATTTTGCACTCATTTGCTTCGTAATGTAAAACAAAAATTGTTTCAAGAATAAAGATTGTGGGTAAAAAAATCTAAAAATTAAATTTGCAAGTACAATTTCGAAGCTACCGACAACCCTATTTAATATGTACTGGAGATCATAAGGAAGATGTTAAACTATTTTACCACAAGAATATAACAATAAAATATGTAGTTATATTCTCACGACGCGGCGACGTCTTGAAAAATTAATGAAAAATTACGTCACACTCCATTATCTTTTATGATTAGGTTTTTTTATTTATTATTTATTACTTAAATGTCTAAATGAGCTCACAGCTCACTCGAAGTTAATCTATAAGACGTCCGATACATTCGTATCGAGCGATCCAACTATGTTGATATTCCAATCCCGCAGGCGGGTACTAATAATTAACAATAATTATAGCTCTATGAAATACGTACAGTACCAGACAATAAATATTGCACATCGATATTTAGAAAAAGACAGTCGTTTAATTTTGATAGTGTTGTAGAGCATTACACCTGTGTGCGATGAAACATCAACAATCCCGTATCTATGGAGATTAGTTAATGACAATTACGTGCGACAGATGTAACGCTCTACAAAGCAAAAATTAACCGTCCCTTTCCCATCGATGTGCAATATTTATCACCGAATACTGTACGTCACTGATGCTCACGAATGACTTGACAAGGTATTTGACAGATGCCTGAATCTCGCTTACGACATTTACAAGATAAGCTTGCATATATACAAGTTCCGAACGACCACATTGGGATCCAGACACCGTCGTTGTTGCACCCGTCGCTTGCGACGAAGGGCTTGACGAGTGAACTAACCCATAGACACAGCCCACTGAGTTTCTCGCCGAATCTTCTCAGAGGGACGTGATTCCGATCCGGTAGTAGATTCATTCGCGAAGCAGCTGCTCTTCAATTGTTAGGTCTCCTTTGGAAACGCTCGGGCAGCTGTTAGCAAACCCCACCCCTCCTGGCTGAGCCCTTGCTCGCCCACCTGTCAGTCACCAGTAATATTTTCTCTAGGTACACAAAGGATAGTTTACGACAGGAAATTATGTGGTATAATGAAAAATTTAATATAATATTATTCATATTATCTATTTATTAATACGTGAAGCAAAAACTTTGTATCCCTTTTTACGAAAATTGCGCGGACGGAGGAGTATGAAAATTCCCACACTTATAGAGAATATAGAGAAGTGCACAATGCTAATATTTTTTTTAAATAATGCTTATAAGATACATTAAATCAATAAAGAAAACATTACACACACTACATACCATGTATTTGACGCACACACGCATGCATACTATTTATTGTCAAGCTTTTGTTATTGCTTAAAGTCTGTAGTCAAATTGAGAATAGGTTAGTATTGTTTATCTTTAATATTACGAGTCTATACGCCAAGACTACACTATACGTCTATAGTGTAGTCTTGGCGAAATCTCTAACAATAGGACCATAATAATGTTGAAACTTATAATTTCAATTAATTATAGAGGAATTTCGACTACTGCGGGACCACTAGTGTTAAGAAATGGTCGCTTATGTACAGTACTTTACATCGATTGTATATAGTATTATGTATATCTATATTGAAGAGTGCAAGACTATTTGGTTAAAGCGACATTCGGTTTAACACGCGACATTTATCTTTGTAATTAAAGGTGAGTTTTATTTGGTATCAGCATCAACAATCAATCAGATTTTTTTAATAGAACTTCAATTAAGTTTACTCCATTCGAATAGCCGAAGAAGTTTTTTTTGTTATCTATACTAATATTATAAAGCTGAAGAGTTTGTTTGTTTGAACGCGCTAATCTCAGGAACTATTGGTCCGATTTGAAAAATTCTTTCAGTGTTACATAACCCATATATTGACGAAGGCTATAGGCTATATGACATCACGGTAAAGCCAATATAAGCGGAGCACCAGTAAAATATTTTTCAAAATAGGTGTTTAAATAGCTCCTTAACATTCTATAATTCAAAAATATTTTCACTTTCTACGTAAATGAAGTGGGGGGGGGGGGAAATTTAGTGTTACGCCCCAAAGTAACTAATCCACGGGGACGGAGTCGCGGGCAAAAGCTATGTCTATACTAATACTAATAATATTATAAAGAGGAAAGATTTGTTTGTTTGTTTGTTTCGAATAGGCTCCGAAACTACTGGACCGATTTGAAAAATTCTTTTTCCATTAGAATCCGACATTGTCCCTGATGAACATAGGCTACTTTTTTAAATTTTTTTTTAATTATTTTTTTGGTTTCATGTTTGTTTTAATGTTTCCGAAGCGAAGCGAGGGCGGGTCGCTAGTTAGTAATATTTTTTCCAAATTTGAAACTTGAAACGGCTGTGTCGTGTAAAATTACAAAAATGTCACTCGAACCAAATGGTTTATCGGTGACGTCACTACGTTTAAAACGATCGAAATCACGGAATCCCGTTACAACGATGGTTTCGTATTAAGCGTACCGCCGTCGGAGCTGCTGGTCCGTCTCGGGGAGCACGACCTGGCCAACGAGGATGAGCCCTACGGATTCGCCGAGAGACGGGTCCAGATCATCGCGAGCCACCCTCACTTCGACCCGGCCACGTTCGAGTACGACCTGGCGCTGTTAAGGTACGTACACACGATCCATAAGGCCGCATTCCACAGTGCGTTTCCAGAGGTCTTTTTTGCCACGTACCATCCGGCTATGGAATGAGCTCCCCTCCACGGTGTTTCCCGAGCGCTATCACATGTCCTTCTTCAAACGAGGCTTGTGGAGAGTATTAAGCTGTAGGCAGCGGCTTGGCTCTGCCCCTGGCATTGCTGAAGTCCATGGGCGACGGTAACCACTCACCATCAGGCGGGCCGTGCGCTTGTCTGCCTACAAGGCCAAAAAAAATTCACCTTTTGTGAGTCCGCACGGGTACCACCGCCCTGCCTATATCAGCCGTAACGCAGTAATGCGGTTTGATTTGTGGGGCAGCCGTTGTAACTATACTGAGACCTTAGAACTCATATCTCAAGGTGGGTGACGCATTTACGTTGTAAATGCCTATGGGCTGATAACCACTTAACACCAGATGGGCTGTGAGCTCGTCCACCCATCTAAGTTACAAAATTTCGAACTACCCTACATCCAGAGTCATTTTTATTTATTGATTAGACGGGTGGACAGGCTCACGGCCCACCCGGTGTTAAGTGTTAAGTCCATGGATATCTACAACGTAAGTTTCACCACCCACCTCTAGATATGAGTTATATAGGGTCTCAGTTTTTTTTTCTAATATCTAGATTCTACGAGCCGGTTAAGTTCCAGCCTAATATCCTGCCAGTATGCGTGCCTGACAATGACGATGACTATGTCGGGAAGACTGCTTACGTCACGGGCTGGGGAAGACTGTACGACGGTAAGTCTTGGTTACCTTCCGAAAAATCCATCCAAATTAAAATACAGATTATAAATATATTTGTAAAGAAAACCCTTTATTAATCAAAACTCTAGTTTTTATAAAGGATTTTTCTTCAGTGTCATGGAGTAAAGTCGTGTCATTGAGTAAAAAGACAGCTCAATTTTGTATAGGACTTTTTGGCCGGAACGCGAGGAGTGAAGTTGTGTGATCCTCCAAAAAGTTCACTGAAGAAGTATCAGTAAATGACCAACATTTTACTGAGATTAAATTTCATCCCGTATGATCTCATTTCATTTCCTTTCATAATATCATTTTTCATATAAAAAAAATATATATAAAAGATTCGGCTGTATGGCATGATACCTTTGTCTTTCCAGTTGGAATAATAAAACTACTACTTTTACTAAAGTTTTGTATAGTTTATTAGTACTGTTTACTTTTTAATTTTTAATATTAATTTTAAAAGAGATTAATGGTTTTAAATGTTGTTTTCTTATTATATAACAGAAAACGCAATTATGTAAAGACATAAAAGTATTGTTTATTCATTCTGAAGTACTCCATATCATTATATATTTATATGTTACATTACATATCGCGAAATAAACGTACAGACAACTTGTAACATAATAAGTCGCACCCATAGAATTGAAGGGGCTTAACAATAAAATTTTAAGAAAATTAATTTTTATACTTTGGAGGATTCACAAACATGTATTCTAAAAGCTTACAAGATTTTTTTTTTATAATTAAATTTAAAATTTGTCTGGAAAAGCACAAAGTACACTTTCCGTCTGTTTTAAATTAATACGCTTTAAGATTTAAAGTACATAATATTAAAATCAAAACTGAAAAATTACAATTCAATTCAGTTACCTTTTTGGCGTTTTGACAAAAAAAACAAGTATTTTGGATTAAACCACTTCAATTCTGAAGGTGTGATTTGTTTTATCAGTGTAGTGAAATAAAAAAATAAAACAAAATCGTGAAAATTTTCTGCTATAATAACACTACATAGTTTAACTGCTAAAACATTATCGCCTTTATTGCTCGCAACCGGCAACCCTCAGACACAGCCCACTGAGTTTCTCGCCGGATCTTCTCAGTGGGTCGCGTTTCCGATCCGGTGGTAGAGTCTGCGAAGCACTGCTCTTGCTAGGACCAGTGTTAGCAACGTCATCAGGTTGAGCCCCGTGAGCTCAACTACTAGTTAAGGCGACGCTGATATACCCTCTCAAGACAATCAGCATAGTTAGGGAAAAAAAAGGTGCGTGTACTTGTGTACGCGCGTAAGAAGTTATACTTTATTTTTATTAAATTTATTTCTTTTTTTTTAAATATTAAATAATTAATAAGAAATATTTCACGTTAAAAAATGAATGCTAATAACACTTTTTTTTAAGAGTGTACATGCGCGAAAGTTCACCTGCGGCTATATTCAGACTCGCCAAGTTACGTCGGTCGTATTGTAATGAGCGATTTAGTGGGCAACTTCATTTCTGTTAATTTTGTGTCACGGTGCGCGCGCATTGTAAAATTTCACTCTCATCAATTTTTCATAGCGCGCCTAAAGAAGAATAACTTCAAAAAAAAAAAGCTCGCAACAATTAAATACGAATTCGATAATCTTCTCACAGAGGGCCCGTTGCCGAGTGTACTCCAGGAGGTTCGAGTGCCCGTGATCAACAACACGGCATGCGAGGCGATGTACCAGGCCGCCGGCTACAACGAGCACATACCGAACATATTTATATGCGCAGGCAGAACCAAAGGCGGGACCGACAGTTGCGAAGGTAAGCCAACTTACTAGAGCTATATGTACGTAAGCTAAGAGTAGCGCCATCTATCGCCGAAGAGCCGAACGTCGAAGGATGTAGTAACCGATAAGTACAACGCCATCTATTGTAACGGAAACACATCGAAGATACTCGACTTGCGAGGAACGTTCTCGACGATTCTAGGGATGTCGTAACAAATATAAAAGCGTTGCAGAGATGGCACGTAGTTACGGAACTACTCGAAGCGAAACAGCTAACAGATTACCTGAAGCGATGCGGGAGAAGTGAATTAAGAATTTTAAGGTGTTCTCATTGTTTTTTGATTGTAAATTGTGTTTTGGTGTGCAATAAAGTATATTCTCTCTCTCTCTCTCACACACATACACACACACACACACATACTGAATGTCTTCTTCTTTTTCTCCACCTTAACCCACTAGGTGGGGTCGGCATAGCTGATTTTTTTCTTCTATCAGCCGTCACCTCAACACTCACTCCTCTGTCTCTCATATCGTCATTCACACACTCCATCCATGTCTTCTTCGGTCGTCCTCTTCCCCCTCTACCTTGCACTACCATTTCCATACATCTCCTAGTCAGATGCATCTTCTATGTAATAACTGTTTTGTTGTGAACAGGTGATAGTGGGGGTCCTATGGTGGTACGCCGCGACCGCGACGACAGGTTCGTCCTGGGCGGCATCATATCCTGGGGCATCGGTTGCGCCGAGCCGAACCAACCCGGAGTCTACACCCGGATATCGGAGTTCAGGGATTGGATCAACCAGATCCTGCAGTTCTGAGTGACGTTATATTATCTATTCTGGCTTTGACGCGATTCGAAATTCGAATGTTGTAATTTCGATAATAATAATTGAATAATCGATAATCGTAATTCGTAAATCGATAAATGAATTTAAAAAAAAAAACTCAAAGAAACCATGTAAAATAGAACTCAAAGCTATTGAGGCATTTCTTAACAAAATTATTTAAATACAAATAGTTTAATTAATTAGCCGGTTCAATCTTCCCAACAAATTCGAACGGGTACATAATAAATTATTATTTTTAACAAAATTTAAACATCAATGATTTTGTAGTAATTTAATATACCTACATCGTAAAAACAAAGAATTTTGAACAACGAACATTTGTGCCACTTAAGTCGTGACTCATAAAACGTTACATATGACACACAAAAGTCACGTAAAGTATTTGCGTCTCGTTCGCACTTCCAATAACACATACACACGAGCGAGAAGAAAACAAAATTAAATAGTACTATAATATAGTTTCATATATTTTTTTGTGTAAAAGATTACATCAAACTTCAAATTACCACAAACGGAACGATAGATGGCGTTGTTCTAAAAAAAACCAAGACAATTTGAAAATATTAGGAAATTGCTCGGAATTTTACATCGACACGATAACTACATTTCAAGAAAATAAAATATGGGAATATGTACTTCACAGCTAAGCATTGATTTGAAGCTTTGGACTCACAGCCTCAATGTGGTTAGTTTCTTCTCTCTCTACCTTAAGTTTTATTAAAAAGAAATATTGAAAAGTATAATATTGCATTGGATTCCATATCATTCTTATTCAAAGTTTATATGCGAATTTAATTTTTTTAAGCCCTCAATTGTTATCTTTTACCCGATCCAGTTTTTAAGCCTCTATCCATGCCATCTGTTGACAAAAAGAAAAACTACGTGTGCCTCAACAAAAAAAAAGGTGGTGAAACTAAAATACCTAGAAAGCTCTCGAAAGTAACAAAGTTAGCATCAACGAGCTTCGAAGTGATTAAATTAACCCATTAATTTATTATTAACTCCAACAACATGAAAAAAACATAACTAAACGTATAAACGCTTGCGTTTGAACCCGGCTGATCTGCGAAAAAGTTTGAGAATCGCTGTGAACTACGAACTTTACTTTAGAGAAACTTTTAGTAATAAGTAAACGAATTTATTTTTAATTTATCAATGAATTTAGTTCTCAATTTGAAAGGGGACAGATGTCTAGTTGGTTTTGACGACAAAGTTTTGCATAGAGAAACAAGAGATGGCGCTAGTGTCATCAAGAATAAAAACTTAAGCAAGAACTCTGTGCTTTTAAGCTTACATTTAAAAACACTAAGAAACATAATTAATTAAATTACAAATCTGTTTGTTTAACTTACTTTAATTCTTAATATTTTTTATATTATTAAAGGTCCGTTTTCTATTCCAATTATTACAACACAATGTTCCCTTTCATCTTAAAAGTTAGTATATAAAAAAATTAAGAATTGTCAAGCACAATCCGTCCTTAATTTATTTTAGTTAAATAATAATTTGTACATAGACGTCATTATTTATAATAAATAAGAGAATGCATTTATTAAATATATTTATGATCTAGCCATAGATTCATTAAGGATTCTTCTCAATGATAATAAATATATTTTTTTTATCAAAATGAAGTTTCATTTCAATATTTATGTGGTTTTTGTCACTTTTAACCACAACGTTATTGAAAAACAAAATATCTTTTTTTTTCTTTTTTAACGAAATCCAAAAATGTTTATATTACAGAATAATGACTGATTAAAAACATTTCATATTATATACAACTAAGTATATTCATGAAGATCATACAATGTACATAATACAAATTGTATTTGTATTTAATCGTATGTAAGTCTATCTTATATTGTATTTATTTTTCACATGTGTATATAAGTATATATTTTTATGTGAGTTTATTAAGATATAGCACCGTTCATGCTAGCTTGCTTATTCCTCTCCCTGCAAGGTTGCCTGGAAGAGATCGCTTTCAGCGATAAGGCCGCCAATTTATGTCACCGTCTATTATTTGTTTTATATGTTTACTCTGTACATGTGGTGTTAAATAAAGAGTTATATTATTATTATATACAATACATACATACTTTCAAAATTAAAATTTATGGAGAATTTGTGTATTTTGTTTATAGATGGCGCTGTTCGTAAGCATTTTACATTACAACTAGCTTTGGCCCGCGACTCCGTCCGCGTGGAATAGTTACTTGGAATAACGCTAAATTTTACCCCCCCACTTCATTTACGTAGAAAGTGTAAATATTTTTGAATTATAGAATGTTAAGGAGCTATTTAAACCCCTATTTTGAAACATTCATTATTGGTGCTCCGCTTGTATTGGCCTTACCGTGATGTTATATAGCCTTCCTCATTAAATGGGCTATCTAATACTGAAAGAATCTTTCAAATCGGATCAGCAGTTCCTGAGATTAGCGCGTTCAAACAAACAAACTCTTCAGCTTAGCTATAATATTAGTATAGATCAACTTCGAAGCCAAAAGGACTGCGTAGAGTTCAAATGTCTTAGTGTCCAATTGTTAAAATTTCATTAAACTATTTCGAATAAGCCACAATATACAGTGGGTACAATATCCGTATCTAAGCATTGCCATAACAATAAGATCTTGTTTAAGAGTTAAAAAAATGTACTATAGTTGTACATAGATGGCGCTGTTCGCTAAGTAACAAAATGCCTATACGAATGTATGAAATTGTTTGAAAACCTAAATCGCGCTTTTGATAGTTTCAAAACTTTTACTATATATACAAAATAAAGAGCATGGCAAGTGTACTTGCTTCGGCAGTACATATACTAAAATTGGAACGATACAGAGAAGATTAGCATGGCCCCTGCGCAAGGATGACACGCAAAATCGTGAAGCGTTCCACATTTTTTGAACAATTTAGTTTCGGACAACCCTTAGGGCGTTATGATTCACCAACCTCATCAATAAAGCTCTTTGAGTCTTTATTACATGAGCAAGATTTGTTATAATAAAAGAAATGAACGGGTGTGGTTGAAAATTGACGTGACTGCGTGATCATCTTGTTAATTGCAAACGGTAAATAGTCTCCCTGAGCACGTCACTTCGGGTCCTCCAGGTCCAATGCGGAGGACGATTAGGTATATCAAGCACTGGTCACCGTTCTCGTCGAATCGCCAAAAGCGACGATAAATTCACTGAGTAAATTAACTCAGACTGCCCGCTGAGTTTCTCGCCGGATCTCCTCAGTGGGTCGCGATTACTGGTGGTAGGACCTCTTGTGAGTCCGCGCGGGTAGGTACCACCACCCTGCCTATTTCTGCCGTGAAGCAGTAATGCGTTTCGGTTTGAAGGGTGGGGCAGCCGTTGTTACTGTACTTGAGACCTTAGAACTTGTATCTCAAGGTGGGTGGCGTATTTACGTTGTGGATGTCTATGGGCTCCAGTAACCACTTAACACCAGGTGGGCTGTGAGCTCGTCCACCCATCTAAGCAATAAAAAAAAAAATGTGTGCGTGTACTAGTGTACACACGTAAGAAGTGAAACTTATTTATGGCCTTATTTTTCGAAAAATGATCTACATGCAACTTTCTAGAAATTGGTTAAATAAAGTTAAATTAGATAAAGTTTAAACAAAAGGATTTTATTATCATAGACATGAATACAAAAAAGTTAAATTAGATAAAGTTTAAACAAAAGGATTTTATTATCATAGACATGAATACAAAACAGATGGCGCGTAACGGAAAAATGTGACGCGTAACCGAAAAATGTGACGGTAAATTTTTTTCCAACGCCGATAAGGAAGTTTCACTTCAAAAAAAGGTTCCGATCCGGTGGTAGCATTTAGCGAAGCACTGCTCTTGCTAAGGCCAGTGTTAGCAAATTCGTCAGACTGAGCCCTGTCAACTAATCTACGCCCCTCGAGGTTACTAGCATAGGTAGGAAAAAAAAAATTTGTTATAAGACCAACATGTTCACCTTATGAGAATACAATAATTTATTACTCTGGTCCAATATTGTTTTTTTTATTGCCGTATATGCAGACGGTTGATCATGGCGAGTGGTTACCGTCTGCCAAAGCCAAGCCGCTACCTACTTTTAAGTACTCCCGCAAGCCTTGTTTGAAGAAGGACATGTCATAGCGCTTGGGAAACACCGTGGAGGGGAGCTCATTCCAAAGCCGGATGGTACGTATTTTTTATTGCTTAGATGGGTGGACGAGCTCACAGCCCACCTGGTGTTAAGTGGTTGTTGGAGCCCATAGACATCTACAACGTAAATGCGCCACCCACCTTGGTTCGCACCACCACCTAAGTTCTAAGGTCTCAAGTCTAGTTACAACGGCTGCCTCGCCCTTCAAACCGGAACGCATTACTGCTTCACGGCAGAAGTAGGCAGGGTGGTGGTACCTACCCGCGCGGACTCACAAGAGGTCCTACCACCAGGAAAGTTAGCAACGTCGTCAGGTTAGAGCTCACCTATTAGTTCAGTTACGCTGGCATAACGTTGTCTTTTTGTNCCTAAGTTCTAAGGTCTCAAGTCTAGTTACAACGGCTGCCTCGCCCTTCAAACCGGAACGCATTACTGCTTCACGGCAGAAGTAGGCAGGGTGGTGGTACCTACCCGCGCGGACTCACAAGAGGTCCTACCACCAGGAAAGTTAGCAACGTCGTCAGGTTAGAGCTCACCTATTAGTTCAGTTACGCTGGCATAACGTTGTCTTTTTGTTATATTAATTTAAGTTTATATTCTGAGAGTGTTTTTGTTACGTATAAGTTTAAAAGCTTTTGGTCCAGGAGCCAAGTACAATTTCGGTCAATTATTTCCTCTCGAGCGAAACTTTGTAAAATGCATTAGGGACCTATAGTATGAATACTTGCGACCGTCAGCTGCGACTTCGTGGGTGGGGCGGGCAGTGGCAGCCTCCCACGCATGGAGAATAAAAAAGTTTTTCAGTCATTTCCTCCCATTTGAAATTTTGTCAGATTATAGTTAACCTAGTATTTTGAAGGAAAAAAAAGTCAGCTGGCCATAACATGGTGGATTATATGACAGCTGGCTGCTTGAACATGAAAAAAAATTATATTTTCAATGATTTCCTCTCAACAAAAAATTTACCTGGTGATCGTTTATATTCTACTATGAATGAAAATTAATGTCAGCTTGCTCTATCTCAGTGGAAAGTTTGTCAGCTGGTACCTTGAAAGGTGTAACGCAGCAGCATCTATCACCTACTGAATCTTATCATCTGACGACTTTTCCCTTGACTTACAGCTAGCTGATTTCTTTCATTATTTACTAGAGTATGTTAACACTCCTCTTATAAATTTTTGTCCGGGAGGAAATAACGTTTCTTAAAATATTCGTCAGTATGCTTAATTTGACTGTTTTGATAAGAAATATGAAAGTTTGATAATGAAAGAAATGTTGGTAAGTAAGAGTAAATTAATTAATGAATAATTTATTGTAGCATATTTTTTTAATTAATTTACTTTTATTTTCATGAGTTGCTCAAAAATAACAATAAAAATCAATCATTTTCATACATACTCTAGTAAATAATGAAAGAAATCACCTAGCTGTAAGTCAAGGAAAAAGTCGTCAGCTGATAAGATTCAGTAGGTGATATATGCTGCTGCGTTACACCTTTCAAGGTACCAGCTGACAAACTTTCCACTGAGATACAGCAAGCTGACATTAATTTTCATTCATAGTAGAATATAAACGATCACCAGGTAAATTTTTAGTTGAGAGGAAATCATATAAAACCTTAAAAATAATCTGAAGTCTTGGCTCTTAAACTTAGACTATTTTGAAACAGAACAAGTCGTGTTGTAAAAATGTATAATGATGTATATATAGTATGATATACTGTTGATTTATTGTAGCTAATTTTAAATTAATATTTTATATAATAATATATAATATAATATATAATAATATTTTTATACTTTATTGTATGACACACATACACACACAAACACACTAACACACATACACTCACACACACACACACGTACGTACTATCTTTATTCTTACAGATCGTTCTTCCTGGTTAACTTTCTTTACCTGGTGACCTAGCACTGAACCACTGACTTTTGTAACAGGTTTTCCTAGCATAAAAGTCAGGGAATATTGTTATTGTATACCTCATAAAAAAGCCATGTATATTATTATACTAGTGTGAAGTATTTTTGTACGTGTTTGTATTTTAAGAGGCTTGAATGAATAAATATTATTATTGTTAAAAAAAAAAAAAAAAAATTGAAAATAATATTTTTTTCATGTTCAAGCAGCCAGCTGACGTATAACCATCATGTTATGGCCAGCTGATTTTTTTTCCTTCAAAATACTAGGTTATCTATAATCTGACAAAATTTCAAACGGGAGGAAATGACTGAAAAAACTTTTTTTTTTTCTCCATGCGTGGGAGGCTGCCACTGCCCGCCCCACCCACGGAGTCGCAGCTGACGGTCGCGAGTATTCATAGTATAAGTCCCTAATGCATTTCTCAACTCTCAGACACAGCCCACTGAGTTTCTCGCCGGATCTTCTCAGCGGGTCGCGTTTCCGATCCGGTGGTAGATTCTGCGAAGCACGACTCTTGCTAGGGTTCGTGTTAGCATCGTCGTCAGGTTTGAGCCCCGTGAGCTCACCTACTAGTTAAGGTTCCGCTGGAATAGCCTCTCTAGGCTACCAGCTTAGGTAGGCAAAAAAAAAAACATTTCACGAATTTTCGATTGGGAGGGACTTGGTCATGAAAATCTGTCACTGGCTCCCGGGCTATTACTTTTTTGTATGATTTTTATCTACATACTTTTCATTAAAAACTTTTTTTTTTCACACCCATTTGCAAACTAAGCAATCTGTGTGAAACTCACCACAGCGCTAAGGCTACCAGCATAGGGAGAAAAAAAAGTTCTAAATCAAACCATTAGGGATGGATAATATAGAAAGATTCATTGAGGTTGGTGAATCAAGGCATTCAAGGCGTGCTAAAGGATTGTCCGAAACTAAATTGTCCAAAAAATGTGGAACGCTTCACGATTTTGCGTGTCATCCTTGCGCAGGGGCCATGCTAATCTTCTCTGTATCGTTCCAATTTTAGTATATGTACTGCCGAAGCAAGTACACTTGAGTTATTCTTTATTTTGTATATATCCTCAAAATTTTGCAACTATCAAAAGCGCGATTTAGGTTTTTAAGCAATTTCATACATTCGTATGGGCATTTTGTTACTTTGCGAACAGCGCCATCTATGTACACCAACAGTACATTTTTTTTTTAACGATAAATAATATCTTATTGTTATGGCAACGCCTGGATACGGATATTATGCTTACTGTATGTTATTTTTTGGCTTATTTCAAATAGTTAAATGGAATATTAACAATTGGACACCAAGACGTCTGTCTAAAATACCTCTGAACTCTAACGCAGTCCTTTTAACTTCGAAGTTGATTAGACTTATAAAAACGTGTTCAAATGACGAACCCACAGTAGCCCTTCTTCTCGGTGGGTCGCGTTTACGATCCGGTGGTAGATTCTGCTGAGCACTGCTCTTGCTAGGGCCAGTGTTAGCAACACCTCCGATTTGAGCCCCGAGAGCGCACCTACCATGCTAAGATAACGTTTCAAGGCTATAAGCATAGGCGGGAAAAAAAATAGTGCGGGTAATCTACATGCGACCATGGACGACGTAATCTAGGCGTTCTGGCGTAGACTAAATATAGCGGGACTTTTTGGCGGCAACGCGAGGAGTGAAGTTGTGTGATTTATTTTTTGTCTATTTAGTGTTTCTTTAGGTTTAAATGTGTAATAACGGTGGTTTATTAACTGTTTAATATCTGTGAAAGTGCACAAATGTGGGAAAATGAAACAAAGCCACTGGACGTAACTTCTCGGGATCCTCCAAAAAGTCCACTGAAAAAATCTCAGTAATTGACCACCATTTTACTAAGATTATATTTCATCCCATATCATCTCATCTCATTTCGTTTAATTTTATCCCAGTTGATAAATGTCTCATATTAATCATCTTCATTTCATTTCTTTTTACCCCATATTATCATTTTTATAAAAATAAGATATGACTTAAAGGTCTTAGTTACCAGGTCATAAAATCACATAAAAAAAACCAAATAAAGCAGGTATACGCAGATTTTCATATACATAGCTCATTCAAACATAATATTACGTTTGATAGAATTGATAGCATGACTTCAAATAGTGTTAATTTACAAATATGAAACACATTAATAAAAAGTAAAGTAATAAACCAATATAACTAGCAACACTTGTCAATGACACCAATTTTTGGTTACGATTCGTCTTACGCAAATTAATTATTGATTATATTTTATTATTCTTTTTCTTCATTTGTAATATTTAATCTAAACATAATCTTTAAAATTCTATTGTATTTTAAATAAAAAACCCAACAATTAAAAAAAAAGTTAAATTTAAAGTCTGCAGTAATAGTGTAGGGAACAAAGGTAAAGATCTCTGTGTCTGGAATAATAAAAAAAGAATTGAAAAAACATTTATTTTATTTAAAAACAAAAAATCACTTCATTTGTATCATGTGAGCCAACGACCAATCATGCTTGAGCTCCTCGTCTGTGATCTTTATTCCCTCAGCCGTGACCACGCCGAGCTGGTAGCGTTGGAACGCGCGAGCATCTCTGTAGAAAAGCACCTCCATACTTTTACGTACAACCGCACTGAAAAAAAAAAAAAAACACATATTACATTATACAGGGTGATCCTTAAGACTACCGCTGTCCAGGCAAAAGCATGTTTTTTTTATTGCTTATATGGGTGGACGAGCTCACAGCCCATCTGGAGTTAAATGGTTACTGGAGCCCATAGACATCTACAAAGTAAATGCGCCTCCCACCTTGAGATATAAGTTCTAAGGTCTCAAGTATAGTTACAATGGCTGCCCCACCCTTCAAACCGAAACGCATTACTGCTTCACGGCAGAAATAGGCAGGGTGGTGGTACCTACCCGCGCGGACTCACAAGAGGTCCTACCACCAGTAATTACGCAAATTATAATTATGCGGGTTTCATTTTTATTACACGATGTTATTCCTTCACCGTGGAATTCAATCGTGAACATTTGTTAAGTACATATTTCATTAGAAAAAATGGTACCCGCCTGCGGGATTCGAACACCGTTGCATCGCTCAACACGAACGCACCGGACGTCTTATCCTTTAGGCCACGACGACTAACGCGACCGCAACGCATATTTTAATCAGAAAATAATATTGGATATACCTAATTATAAAACTTAGCTCTAATATTGATTATTATTGATCTACCAGTATTGATAGGATATCAAAAAAGAAATTAATTGTTAATACGGTTTGCTAGTTAAACATTTTTTTTTTCTATTACATATATTTTTTAACATTGAAGTCGCTTTCACATTTTCGTCTTATGAAATAGTTGTTCTTACATAGCAGTTTCTTGGTCCAGAGGTCCTTTATCCACTGCGTCCCTCAGTAGAGGAGTCGCCATATAAGCTCCTAGCCCGTTCGAGATCACAGCATCTTCATATGCTGTTCCCAATTTATCAACAGCTCCGAGAAAGGGTTCACCATCCTGTTCAGTTTTTTAAATGAGAATTTATAATTTAACATTTTTATATAACCCATCATTAATTATATTTGTCAAATAAAATTGTATTCGAGTTTCTATAGTCATCAATCATTTGAGGCTTCAAATCTATAATAATATATAAAAATGAATTGCTGTTTCGTTAGTCTCGCTAAAGCTCGAGAACGGTTGGACCGATTTGGCTAATTTTGGTCTTGAATTATTTGTGGAAGTCCAGAGAAGGTTTAAAAGGTAGATAAATATGAAAATGCTCGGAATTAAATAAAAATAACGATTTTGTTTTTCCTTTGATATGTTGCCCGTCAGACGGATTTCCGTTTGTTTGTTTTAAGTTTATTTTATACAAGAGTTTAGATCTTTTATTTATCGATTGAGGTACTACGGTTTTATATACCCTGTATATAAAACAGTAAAATATGTAAATAAATGCTTAAAATAACTAATGATACACTATAATAAAAAAATGTAACAAAATTTAATCACAAACCTGAATACCGGCGACCACGTAGCTGTTCCAGAGAGGATCCATCTTGCTCCTCTTGTTGTAGAGGACACGAGTCAACCAGCAGTGCAGAGAGCGGGGCTTGAGCTGGAGACCATCTCCAACACAGCGCTCATCAATGCTGTCAATTTAAGAATTAAAATTATACTAGCTGACCCGGCAAACGTTGTTCTACCATATAAATTATTTTTAGGAAAGATAAATAACCTAAATACCGACTGCAGCGCCCTGCCGGGCTGATTTGTGAAACCATCCAGGGTGCCACCCAAACGCATACAAAAAAAATATTCAAATCGGTCCAGCCGTTTTGGAGTTTAGTAACAAACACACACACAGAAGAAATATATACATAAAGATAAAACTATGATATTCTATGACCTAGTAATATCATGATAATAATAATGACATTGTATTATATAAATTTTACATTAATGAGACATGAGTTTTAATTAATTCATTAATTAAACTCCAATATCATAATTCCTCCTCTTTTCGTTCCTTAAATTTCAACAGAACATGTCATTAGGTATGTATTTACTACATTTATTCGATATAGTCAAGCCAGACTTGGCACCTCTGTGCTATTGACACTAATCTTAGGCCTCAAGATTGGTAGGAACATTCATGATTTTGCTTTTCTGCAGTCTGATAACATACCAACATTAAGACCTTGTATAAGTTAAAAAAAGAAGCAAACAAATACACAATTACTGGTGGTAGGACCTCTTGTAAGTCCGCACAGGTAGGTACCACCACCCCGCCTATTTTGTGCCGTGAAGCAGCAATGCATTTCGGTTTGAAGGGTGGGGCAGCCGTTGTACCTATACTGAGACCTTAGAACTTATATCTCAAGGTGGGTGGCGCATTTACGTCTATGGGCTCCAGTAACCAATTAACACCAGTAACAATAAAATATAAAAAAAATGAAAACACTAACATTTTTTGTTGAATGATATCCTTTAAATACTGAAAATCAGCATAGTCTCCTCCGCAGCCTAAGAGTATTAAGTCATTGACTTTCATCACGCGGGGACAGTCTCGAAACCGGGCCAATGACCCGTACGAGCCCAGTGTGTCACCGGCGATAACACATCCCTTGTCAAACTTAACTCCGATGACCGTTGTGGTGGTCGTGATGGGGCTCGCTGAGCTGTACAGAAACGTAAGTTTGGATAATTCCTGTTAACTGCACAACTTTGAACTGTTTGAACTTTTAAAACTTTTATGATTTATAGGTAAATTCTGATTTAAAAATTGGCTAATATTGTTTGTTTATGCTTTTATTATAGAACATTGTACTTAATTATGATATTTTTTAGAATTTTTTATTTATTTTGATAGGCATTAATGCATCAACTTATAATAAAAAATATTTTATAAATTAGGTAGGGGATCAAATGATTTTCCGAAATTCAAAATTTTATTTAAAGATTCGAAATATTTCGTCGTGTCACTACAAAAAGTAATTACATTTTCTATTTGTCTCGAAGTGAACTTACACTAGTCTGTAAATATCAAGTGGCTTTAGTTTGTTTTTATATTTTTAGGTTTTTTAGTAATGTGAATAGACATACAAAGCGGTCTCTATAAAAAAAATTGTTAACATCTACAGCTACAGCAACTGCTGTTTATTCTGATAAGTTATGAACAATGATTAATACTTACTGAGCTGTAAAATCCTGTACACCGTGCCTGGATGGAGCAATTGTGGAAGCATTTCCAGGAAAATTATAAAATGCTCCAGGCGACGGTCCGTTTTGCCACAACGGCGTGGGGTTCATCGTGTCCCCCATAAAAGCCATTGTTATATTATTTTTAATACGAAGTTAAATATTGTTTCAGCTTATGAATTTATGTAGGTGTTTCAGTTATTCTTTTTGCCAGTTTTTGCAGAATGACAAGCGGCTATGATTTTGACATGTAGGTACTACATTAGGCAGTGTTGCATAAATTGAAAACCAAAATGGAAGTGATGGAAAAGACTGAGTTTTCGAAATTTTCACGTCAAGAAAATCACAAATCACTAGATAAACAAACGCTATACTAGCATAAAGTCAAAGCTATCTGTGGCTACTCTAGGCAATTATTTGTTATAATTAAGGAGCCAAACAAAATCAAAATTAGACTTTTACATGACAGACATTAAAACTTTAGGTATGATTAATTTTCATATACATAGCTCTTTCGAACATAATACATATTATGTTTAATAGAATTGATAGTATGATTTCACAAAGTGAAAATTTACAAATATGCAACGTACATTAATAAAAAGTAAAGTAATAAACCAAAATACCTAGCAACACTTGTTAATGACAATCATTTTTTTGTTACGATTTGTTTTACGCAGATTAATTGTTGATTATATTTTAATGTTATTTTTCTTGATTTATAATTTTTAATCTAAAAATAGTCTTGGAAATTCTATTGTATTTTAAATTAAAAATTCCAACAAGTACAAATAAAAAGTGAAAGTTAAAGTCCGCAGTTATAGTGTAGAGAACAAAAGTAAAGAGCTTAATCTCTGTGTCTGAAAAAGTATCCGTCGAAGACTTCGATCAATAATATTAATCAAGTCAAAGAGCAACCATAAAGTGGTACCGTACCTAACATCGCTGTAATTTAATTTCAGAGAAAACTTCGCTACGCAGCTTCACTCCGTATATTTTATTTATACAATTGATAATTGTTAAGGCACAACATGCACAAAGAACTTAATTTCGTTTAGAAATCAAGTAGGAATAAAAAAAGGTTTTAAAAGATTATTTGATTAAAATTACATCGCACAAACAAAAAAATTTCAGTTATGTGTTTCAGAAAATTTATTCAAATAGAACAAATTTTAATAGAAATTAATGTGACCATTTTGCTTTATAGATTGATAAGATCGCCTACAGTAAGTTACTAACTTCAAGACCTTCACTGACATTTTGATTTTTGAACGAGTACGACAACAAAAGTTACTAGCTTCACGTCCCTATTATTTCTTTCAAAATTTTGATACAACAAAATGTCTAAGAGAGGTTCGTGAAATTCTAAATTATCCGAGTAAATCGATTCAATCCATGTGATATTATAGTACACAATATGTACGAATCCATAACCATACGAAAACCATTGCTCGGAACCTTTATTTCGAAGTGATTCTATCTTATTGATTAGTTGGTGTTTTGGTGAAAATGTATAGTGTTATGTTTTTCTGTTTAAAGGACGTGGTGGTTCCGCGGGAGCGAAATTCCGTATCTCCCTGGGTCTCCCAGTGGGAGCAGTAATCAACTGCGCCGACAACACAGGTACTTTTAACTAATGTTATTGTGACGAACCTCACATAACCTAAAACCACACGATGCTCTGGGTTGTGCATCTAATGATGATACCTATCGGACACAAATTTGTGTTTTGATTCATAATGATAATCTTCCTTGGCTGTGTCTGAAGATGCTCGACCGATAATAATTAAATGCATAGTTTAAATGATCAAGTATTGATTGTCTTGAGAATTTACAACAATAATACGTCAGCGGTCGGGGAACTTTTTTGATTATTACCCCTAAATATTTTTGTGTAAGTTGATATTACCCCATGGCGAAGAACAAAAAAAAACGAAATCGCTTCTTTTTAGTATATTTCATATTAAAGCCCCATGATAATTTTGAAAAGAAAACAATAACTAAAAATTTAACGATTCTAAAGAAGTTTCACTTCAATATATACTTTTTATTCACAAAAGTTTCATTTTTACCCCCCAAAATTTCATTTTACCCCATTTGGGGTAATTTACCCCGGTTCCCCGACCGCTGATATAAGTAGAAAAATTATTGAAAATTATCATAAATATTTGAGAAGTGATAGTGTAAAATTTTTAATCTACCTTTTCGTGCTCTTTTCTCTGGTTACTCCTAGTAAATCTGAATAATATGAAGTACCTACAACTATTTTTTTTTTAAAAACTACCTTCAGTTTGTGACACTTTTTCGTTTAATACAAATTCTGCAAACATTATGAAGAAGAAGATGCCAAAAAGCCACGCATAAAGTGGTTTCATACTAATGTCTCTTAATTATTTCAGGGGCAAAGAATCTGTATGTGATCGCTGTCCAAGGTATCAAAGGTCGCCTGAACAGACTGCCGGCGGCCGGTTCCGGGGACATGATTGTGGCCACAGTCAAAAAGGGTAAACCTGAACTCCGGAAAAAGGTCAGTGTATATTAATTGTCTCATGAAAAGTTTTAAAGTATTTTCATCTTATTTCTGTTTCTAATTGTATAATAATATACAGTCAAAGTTTATATGAATAAAACTGTAGAAGGCTTTTACATACTGAAATGATATTTCTCTAAATATCCTAATCCTAATAAAGGCTTTCTAAAAAAATTATAATAAATAAACTTTTGAGTTCATTGTAATACATTATAAAGGATTATTGCTTAGTAATATTTCACTATAAGAGGAATTCCAATCAAGCTATTTTGGGCAAGAGACTGTTGTTCCAAAATTAATTGATACCCAGACTCCCATGGCCAAATTACTTTAAAATACCTATATTCAGTTTTTTTCTCATTGATACAAAATACTTATCAATTTAAAAACTAGTTAACTGAGTGTGTAAGTGGTTGATATCGACCCCTTTCAAATCCCTACTCTAGTATTTTGTAAGGCAATACAGATAGGACTAAAGTCAAACATATTTTTATAGCTTTGCATTCTGATTTGAAGAATGCTATATAAAACTATGTTTCAAGGTTTAAGCTGGTGTTTGCATTATGTCTAGACGTCAACAACTAGAAACACCAAACAAACACTGGATGGTACCATCCATTATCCTTTTGATTATGTTACAAATTTGAAACTATAAAATTGACATAAACAAATCCTGTTGTCTACTTCTATTAAGTCAAAACGCTTTTCAATCATTCTATAGCTATTTTGGTGATAGTAAAAGCTGGTTGTTGTAAATTAAAAATTTGTTGCTCATTAATACCTATCATATTTTATTTTGTTACAACAAAAACCAAGGGTAATGTGCTTATGTGACATGGTTCCAGCATAACCAAAGGTACCCCTGATATTTCTCATATTCATTGTGCTGATGGTGACCACTCACAAAAATACTGAATGAAAACGTTTTTTGTTTTATTCTCTACCCTAGGCTGTTAATGTTTTTTAAAATGGATTTAGAATTGACACATGTAATCAAACTCGGATGGAACACAATAGGAATCATGTTGGGTGTACATTCCAATCACGAAAATACTGAATGAAAATGTTTTTTGCTTTTTATTCTCTACCATAGGTTGTAAATATTTTTTTTAAATGGATTTGGAATTGACACCTGTAATCAAACTCAGATGGAACACGATAAGATGTTGGGTTTACATTCCACTCACGAAAATACTGAATGAATGTTTTTTAGTTTTTTATTATCTATGATAGGTTGTAAATGTTTTTTAAAATGGATTTGGAATTGGCACCTGTAATCAAACTCAGATGGAACACGATAAGAATCATGATGTATATAATATATATATATTTTTTTTAACAATCACGCCACGTTGACTGGCCCCGTGATAAGTTCGTAAAGAACTTGTGTTACAGGTACCAGATAACGGAAATAAATATAAGATTTTTATTATACACATACATAGTTAATATACATCCATAACCCTGGAAAAGACATTTATATTTATCATACAAATATCATCCTTTGGCGGGATTCGAACCCGCGACCCCCGTATGTAGTGACCATGTCACTTACCACTACACCAGACGGCCGTTTAAACTAAACTGAATTGCTATGATGATATGCCAGAGGTTTCGCTATTTTATTTCATCTGAAACATGTTATGCTGAAACACCTTGGCTGACTGAGCATTTCAATTGAATACAACCTCCCAACATAAATCATTTTTATTGAACTTGAAAAAATTTTAGTGAGAAAATATAAATTAAAATTTTATTGCACAGGTAATGCCGGCAGTGGTCATCAGGCAGCGGAAACCGTTCAGAAGGCGTGATGGAGTATTTATATACTTTGAGGACAATGCGGGTGTCATAGTCAATAACAAGGGCGAAATGAAGGGCTCGGCCATCACAGGGCCTGTAGCCAAAGAATGTGCTGATCTGTGGCCGCGTATTGCCTCAAACGCGAGCTCTATCGCTTGAATATACGTTTAAGATTAGTAGCTGCGTTTTACTTTCCTTTCCTAGTACATCAAAATCAAACCCGAAAAATTATAATTTGCGTAATAGACATTTACAATGTAAATGCGCTAAGCTTAAATATACGTTTAAGATTAGTAACTGCGTTTCACTTTCCTTTCCTAGTACATCAAAATCAAACCCGAAAAATGATAATTTGCGTAATAGATATTTACAATGTAAATGCGCCACCCACCTTGAGATATAAGTTCTAAGGTCTCAGTATAGGTACAACGGTTACCCCACCCTTCAAACCGAAACGCATTACTGCTTCACGGCAGAAATAGGCAGGGTGGTGGTACCTACCCGTGCGGACTCACAAGAGGTCCTACCACCAGCGAATATTTCGAGCCATATTGCGTTTTTATATGAAAGGCAGGGCAACCAATATAATACAGTTGAAGACATTAGTGGATGAAGGGGATATGAAACAATTTTGAGGAAACAGACTACAAACTTTTGTTAGGTACTTGTACTTTTTCTTTGAACATAATTCTCGTCATATGAAATTTCTAAAAATAGCCTTTAAGCTCGGGGTTTTAAGGCCTAATATGGTTTATAGACATATAACACTCGTTCAATGTAAAAACTCAAAAATCTTAGAAATGGTAGAGTACGCGTCACTTAATAAGAACACTGGCGGTCAAACTGCGCAGTAGGCTATTTATCGATGTATTTGGTGGTATGAGGTGCGGCGCGGGGCGGGCGGGTCACCTGCCGCATGCT